AGACAGCATATTAAAAAGCAGAGACATTACTTTGCCAGCAAAGGTCTGTCTAGTTAAAGCTACGGTTTTTCCAGTGGTCATGTATGGATGTGAGAGTTGGACTATAAATAAAGCTGAGCGCCGAAGAATTGATGATTTTGAACTATGGTGTTGGAGAAGACTCTTGAGAGTCCCTTGGACTGCAAGGAGATCCAACCAGTTCATCCTAAAGGAAATCAGTCCTGAATATTCATTGGAAGGACTGATGTTGAAGCTGAAACTCCAATACTTAGGCCACCTGATCTGAAGTGCTGACTCATTTGAAAAGACCCTGATACTGGGAAAGATTGAAGGCTGGAGGAGAAGGGGACAACAGAGGATGAGATGGTTGGATGGCATCACCGACCTAATGGACATGAGTTTGAGTAAACTCCAGGAGTTGGTGGTGAACAGGGAGGCCTGATGTGCTGCAGTCCATGGGGTTGAAAAGAGTCGGACACAACTGAGTGACTTATCAGTTTTAAATGATTAACCACATCAAAATCCTCATTTCTGGTAAAATACCACTCTTGAATAAAATGCCTCCCAGTTCCTTGACTGACTGAGAATTTAAGAGTGACACTGCTAGGCCTCCAATTTGCAGTAAAACTGAGCAGTCACAACTGTACCTTCCTTTGGGTGAGTGATTGAGTTAAAACACATTTCTTGTTTCTAGTAACTCCATATAATCAATGCCTTTTGGCTGCAAATTTTCCTTCCTTTGGTCTAGGGAAGGTTTTAGTGCAGTGCCTGGAATGGAATAAGCATTCCATAGGTCTTGGTCAAATAAATGGATTTTCAGGAAGGGAAAAATACTCTTAAGGAATAATTGATGATAAAGTAGACTGCCAATTAATCTGTAACATGGTTCACTAAAGATTTGCACCCTTGATTCATTTTTCTCTGCAGCAAGTGAAAGGGAACTTTGCTAGGCTGAAGGCTTGCATCTCAGAACTCCGCATACTGCAAACAGAAGGTTGTTTCAGACCACAAGGCATTTCTCTGCAGCTGGCAATACAGGATGGGCTCCAGCAGTTCAAACAGTACAGCAGACACGCAAGCACAGGTGCAGCTCTGACCTACAGTTCCCTGGAGGTAAGAGATGCTGGCCTTAGGACACTAAGCCTTCTTCCCATTTAAGTCCATCTAAATCCTTCATTATTTGCCATCCTTCTCTTGTTCTCTTTCATTCACATTGAAGGTCATGATTAGGTACTCCATTGGGTGTGTGAGTGAGCTAAAATACATTCAGTCTCTGTAACATCAGTCATCAAACAAATGAGTTTAAAAATAATTATCTTTCATCCACATGCTTATTCACCAATCAAAATGTCTAAGTACAAAAGAAAATGTCATATATTTAATACTTGCCTTCCAGAGTGTAATGTTCAGCCTGGATTCAGATTGAGCAAGGAGAGACATCCAATGGAAGTACCACTGAGAAAAGAGCATATAAACTCTCTGATATTTAGTATACATCTAACAAGTGGAATTTAAGGATTCTGTTTCCTTTGTTTCTTCATGAAATCAAAGCACATTGAGCAAGAGGGATACTGCCTGTGATTCAAGGAATCGTAAAAGTTGAAACACAGTGGGGGACTTCCCTGGCAGTCCAGTTGTTGAGACTCCATGCTCCCAATGCAGGTGGTGTGGATTCAGTCTCTGGCTGGGGAATTAATATCCTACATGCTGTGGCATGGCCAAAAAAACAAAAATGAAACAAGGATGGCTTCTCACTAGTCACTTTTGGGATAGATTCGGTTTTTTTGGAAGGGTGCTGTGATGATCTATCCCACCAGAGCTCTCCCACCAGAATCTGTCAAATAAAACTTGATTTGCAAGTTATAATTAAATCCTCTTCTTTGCCCTAAGATACTACTACCAATTTCTTCAATGTTTATCCTCTAGATCTAACCTGTTACATTCTTCACTCTGTACATCAGTGAAAGTAGGCACAATGATTCTTTGATTTATTTCCAGATTACCATTCTGACTTCACAGCCTGGAAAAGAGGTGGTCAAACAGTTGGAGGAAGGATTGAAAGATACAGACCTAGTCAGGATCAGGAAGCTTCAGGTGGTTGAGATCACAAAGGGAGCCCTAGAATGTATGAACTCAGCATCCCCTGTTGAAGAGCCCAGCAATGAGGGTAAGGATTAAATGAAAAGGTTAAAAGAATGGTAAGAATTTTAATGAGTAGTCTTTTACACCTGAGGAAGATTATTTTCCACCGTCTTTTTATAGTCTTAAATGAAATAAAGCCAACAGATTTCACTGTGGTCAGAAAAGTGTTTCTAGGTAGTAGAGTTTAATTTTTTAATCTTATTTTTAATTTTAGAAGCAATATATATTAATGTAAAATCTGAAAGATTATAGGTAAAGAAAGTAAAAATTCCTTCCTCCTTAAGAGTTTGGGTTATCCTTTGTAATGTTCTAATAAATAGATAGATAGATAGAAATACTTTATATTTTAATGGGATTATGACATACATAATACTCTGTAACCCTCTTTGTGTGTTATACAGCTGTCTATGTTAGTATCTGTAGACATGCTTCATTTTTTACTGGATACATGATGTTTTTTACTTTCTGGTTGGACCATAGTTTGTTTGTTTAATTGCTTATTTGTGAATAATCTGGTTTATTACATTTTGCTGTATTAAGAGATTTACATGCAGGGCTCTGGCTTCATTGGGCCTGTGACCAGTACAGTCATAAGAGGCCCTGCATTCAAAAAGGCCCTATGCTTAGAATTTAATGCTTTTGGGTAACTGTCTTAAAATTATTGATAATTTTATCTTTGAATTTGTGCTTTGTAAGTGAAGTTTGACAGAACAATGGAACACATGCCAGGGGATTATATTCTCGGTTCGTATGTGTCCTGCCTACCTCCTGCCTCCCCAGAACGGGTTCTCAATCACTAGCTTTCCAGTCCTGATGGTCCTAGACTGCCTACCCCTACCAGTCACTGCTGGCACCAGATCCTACACTTCTCAGAAGAAAACATATTTAAACTGAGTTTTAAAATACAAGTAGGAATTAACCAAGCAGAGGGAGAGGAAAGAGAAACTCAAAAAGGAGAACAGGGGCATGAGAAAGCAAGATAAATCATCTTTCAGAGATAAACCCGTGCTTCCATGTCAGGAGCCTATCAGACAGAGGCAGGAGTAAGGCTCTAGAGATAGGCAAAGGTTAGATGAAGAAAGGCCATATATGCCATGTACCCATTCTGATACATTTGGATTTAATGCTGACGCATTGGAAATTTATGAAAAGATTTTTGTCAGAAGATCAAATAGAGATTCTCAAATTATGGAATTTAAGATTTTTAACTGATTTTAACTTATCCAAAACTCAAGTTAAATTCACCCTCCAGCAGTTCTTTCTAGTTATATTAGCTTTCTCCAAGGTTATACACACCTGGAGGTGCTCACTGTTCTGATACCATTGATCTCTTCCTGGTACCACAAAAATAGCCTCACTCTTCACTTCACACCCTAATTGGGTCAGGGAGTTGGTAGCTAAGGGTGTGTTTCCCATCAAATTCTGGCCCATGTGGGTCCTTCCAGCATCATGGACCTCTGACATTGTGCCAGTTGGGGAAGGAGGGTAACCAGCCTTGCTGTGTGGTATATGATATCTTACCTACTATACACCTCTGCTTTTCTCAAGCCAGTCTCCTCACTGACTATCCTGTTTATATCCCTCCACTTGTGGTAATCTTAGCCTCTGAATTTCCTCTTCTTTCCTCTGAATTCCTCCCCCTATCCTCTTCCAGCCAAATCCTCTTCATCCTTTAAGGCCTAATTCTTGCCTGGAGAATCCCAAGGACGTGGGAGCCTGGTGGGCTGCTATCCATGGGGTCGCACAGAGTCAGACACGACTGAAGCCACTTAGCAGCAGCAGCAGGTTCATGACTACTATATTGATTTTCCTCTTCTTAGAACAACCACATAGCTTGTGGTCTGCACAATACAAGTTAGCACTTAATTATATACCATATAGAATTATTTACCATTGCTTTATTGTGCTTCCCTAGTAGCTCAGCTGATAAAGATTGTGCCTGTATTCAGGAGACCCCAGTTCAATTCCTGGGTCAGGAAGACCACCTGGAGAAAGGATAGGCTACCCACTCCAGTGTTCTTGGGCTTCCCTTGTGGCTCAGCTGGTAAAGAATCCACCTGCAATGCAGGAGACCTGGGTTCGATCCCTGTGTTGGGAAGATCCCCTGGAGAAGGGAAAGGCTACCCACTCCAGTATCCTAGCCTGGAGAATTCCGGGGACTGTATAGTCCATGGGGTCGCAAAGAGTCAAATACGACTGAGTGACTTTCGCTTTCTTTCTTTCTATTGTGTGATAATTTTGTCTTCTCACCTGAACTGTAAACTATTTGATTTTTTTATCTGCATTAAATCTTAAGCTTTAAGCCTTGGCATTACAAATTTATCTTACTTATTTATGTGCCCCACTCTGTAAGTATCTCCTAGATTAGCAGTAAATATTTGTTAAAGGAACTGATGGCTGTGATACCTGTGGAGTCTGTTCTTGCTCTGCCCAGCATCCCCTGCATCCCCTTTCTCTAGTAACACCTCTACTTTCCTAGTCACAGAGTGGACCATAACCCAGGTAAGGCAATCATAGTTCTCCAGGCCAATAATCTCCGAGTCCCTCCCAGTGGGTTCTCAGACTGAATCTGTGAGAGAGAAGCTCCTTTTATTTCTCTTTGGCCATGAACAGATCAGGTATGGACTATGTCCTTTTCTCCCTTCAGTGACTAGAGAAAGGAGATACAGATATCTCCAATCTTATACAAACTCTTCTAGAAATTAAAAAATAAAGAAAGAAAAATGCCCTCCCCCTAGTCATGATAGAAAGCCAAACAAGAACAATGGCAGCTGGATGGAAGGGGAGTTTGGGGGAGAATGGATACTGTTTCTGTATGGCTGAGTTCCTTAGCTGTTCACCTGAAACTCACAACATTGTTGATTGACTATACCCCAATACAAAATAAGAAGTTTTAAAAAAAAAGAAAATTGCAAGTCAATCCACTCAAGAAAATAGGTAAAACCATCTTAAATAATCTAATCGTACATAAAAAGAGAATACAGAGCTGATCAAGTTGAATTTATCCCTGTAATGCAAGGTGATTTTGCATTAGAAATACATAAATATAAATTTAAGCAAGGAGGAAAAAATTTATACTCTGAAAACTATAAAACATTAATGAAGGAGATTAATGATGATACAAATAAATGGAAAGATATCCTGTGTTCATGGACTAGAAGTACTAACATTGTTAAACTATCCATACTGCCCAAAGTAATCTATACATTTAATGCAACCAGTATCAAAATACCCATGACATTTTTCACAGAACTAGAAAAAATAATCTTAAAACATGTGTGGAACCACAAAAGACACCAAATAGCCAAAGCAATCTTGAGAAAAAAGAAACTAGAGGCATCACACTCCCTTACATCAGACTATAGTACAAAGCTACAGTAATCAAAAAAGTATGGTTTGGGCACAAAAGCAGACACATAGATCAATGGAACAGAATAGAGAGCCCAGAAATAAACCCATGTACTTATGGTCAGTTAATCTATAGCAAAGAAGGAAAAATACATGTTGGAGAAAAGCCAGTATCTTCAATAACTGGTATTGGAAAAATCAGCACAGCTATGCATAAAAGAATTAAATTAGAACATCTTTTCACACCATGTACAAAAATAAACTCAAAATGAATTAAAAACCTAAATATAAAACTGGAAGCCATAAAACTCCTAGAAGAAAATATAGGTAAAACAATTTGACATAAGTATTTTTTTAGATATATCTCTTAAAGCAATGGAAACAAAAGAAAAAATAAATAAATGGGATCTACTTAAACTTAAGAGCTTTTGCACAGTGAAAGAAACCATCAACAAGATGAAAAGGCAACCTACTAAATGGGAGGAGATATTTACAAATGGTATCATTTGATAAGGGGCTGATATCCAAAATATATAAAGAGCTCATACAACTGAAGATCAAAAAAAAAAAAAACAATTAAAAATGGGCAGAAGACCTAAATAGACATTTTTTCCAAAGAAGACATATAGATGGTCAACAGACACATAAAAGGAGGCTCAGCATCACTAATTATCAGGAAATGCAAATCAAAACCACAATGAGCTATCACCTCAAACCTATCAGAATAGCTATCATCAAAAGATAACAAATAATAAATGCTGGCAACGATATGAAGAAAGGGAACTCTAGTATACTGTTGGTGGGAATGTCAATTGATGTAGCTACTATGGAAAACAGTATGGAAGTTCCTCAAAAAATTACAAATAAAACTAACACAAGAGGATGTAGAGTTGGCAGTGCCTGACAGCGCATCTGTCGAGAAGCTGGATGGGGTAGAGAGTAGGGGATGGTAATGAGGGGTGGTGGGAGAAGGAGGCGGCAGTGGTGAATCACTTATAAATGACTCCAAAGCAGGACCTGGAGGATAATGGTCATTCATGATGAAGAGGGAAAGGCCTGAGACATGGAATCAGCGATTGCAACCCTTCAGTGTGAGTCAGCGGGCCTGAGAAAGAGGGATGCCTGCCACCTGGGCTTCATTCAGCTGCAGCCACTCCAACCACTCCCTGTGGTGAACCCAGAAGGAACCCTGAGAATGCAGGGTGACAGGCCCCAGTTAGCTAAGGTGCCCCGTGACCTGCAACCAGAGGGTTATACATTCTGAAAAGACAACTCAAAGGACTGTCTCCAACCCGGAGAGAAAGACCCTTATCAGATGACACAGATTTACATCACGATTAAGATGATGTGCAGAGAAAACCCAGGCCCCCAAAGAGATTACAGCCACTCCTCCAAACAGATCCAGCGGGAATAAGCACAAAAGTCACCCCGGGGCCCCTTAATAGAACAGGACGAGAGCTGCATGACCCCAACTAGGGAGGGCCTGTGAGTCCTGTGTCAGCATTAAAGAAGTTACAGAAGACTGACCATCTGTCCCTCATTATCCCAGTAAAGATTTCTTGGGGTTCACATCTCAAGGAAAATTTGAAGTAGGAGATAGTTGGGTCCCTGGGCTGAACAGCTGGTGATTTTCAAATGGAGCAGAACTGAAGTTTGTCTTCAACCAGACAAGAATGA